ACAGGCCCAGGAAAGATCTATGATGGTCCTCATCTCTTACCTGTAGCTGATTTTGAGGCTCTGTGCAAGCAGGAAGTGAGTGCTAAGGCAGAGTTGTAAATTGCCTGTTGGAGCATTGAAAATGTACCTCCACAGGCACACAGCACAGGTGGAGAGACGTATTGATTCAAGGTACTTAAAATCTTATTCTAACCATTAGCTGACCACTAAGTTAATGGAACAGAGACTTGAGAGGCCACACACATCAATGATACAAACTTTACAGAACTATTCTAGGAAAGTCAGGAAACAAACAGTAACAATGATAAACCCTGTGAGAGGGAGGAATATGTTATTTTAAATTTCCAGTTTTCAACTGAAAATTACAAGACACATAAACAAACAGGGAAGTATCTCCTATACACAAGAAAAATAAAAGCAGTCAGTAGAAACTGCGTCTGAGGAAGTCCAGGCATTGGGCCTACTACACAAAGAGTTTAAATCAGCTGGGATGCATATGTTCCAAAAATAAAGGGAACCATGTTTAAAAAATTAAAGGGATGTAAGAAAACAATGTCTCACCACATAGAAAATATCTAATAAAGAGATGGGAATTGTAAAAAGAAAATAGAAATCCTAGAGTTGAAAAGTACAGTAACTGACATGGAAATTGGCAGAAGAAAGAACTAGTAAACTTGAAGACAGGTCAATTGAAATGATCTAATCTGAGGAACAGAAGAGAAAAAAAAATTTCTTAATGAATAGAGTATGAGAGACCCATGAGACATTATCAAGTATTCCAGCATACAGAAAATGTGAATTACGAGCAGGAGAAGAGAGAAAGAGGCAAAGAGACTATTTGAACAAATAATGGCCAAAATCTCTCCAAATTTGATGAAAATTTTTAACCTGCATGTTGAAAAAAGCCTCAACAAATTCCAAGTGGAATAGACTCAAAGTAATCCACACCTAGCCACATTCTAGTCAAACAGTCGAAAGCCAAAGACATAAGAAAATCTTGACAACAACAGAAAGCAAGTGAATTCTCGTGTACAGGGATCCTCAGTATAGCTAACGGCTGGCTTCTCATCAGAACCATGCGCCCCACCCCGCTGCCATCTGTGGCCAGGCTGGTGGGCACCTACTGCACGCATTTGTCCTGACAGGCTCTGGTAGGGACCTGTGCCTCTGCTTTGCAATCCGTGTTTCACATTTTCTGTGACACAACTTGTACATGTAGTGGTGACATGCCTTACAGTCAGCCTCACTGGCAGCAGGCATGCCCAGATTGTGCGTCTGAAACCGTTTGAGCAGAGTCTCCATCTTAACTGTGTAAGACGCATTGTGACATCCTTTTGTGTGTCATGGTACACAGGTGAGCTACTGAGAGGCATGTGGGATGCTATAGTTCCTAGTTTGGTTTCCTTTTTACTATTGTGTGAAAGTCTTTTATTTGGCTCATTGGTTCCCTAGGAAACAGCTGCAGGGTAAAGATGGATTGGCTCTTTGGGGAATGGAATCACAGGCCCCTTCAAGAAGCAAAAGATCTGTTGGATCAAACAAAAATTAGTGAATGGCTGGGGTTGTGTTTGATTAGTGTGTGCTTCAGGAAATCACACTAAATTCTACAGAGGAACCTATTTATACAGCATAATTTTAAATTTATCTTGTTTTTTACTGGTTTAGGGTCACCAAATGCTCATTAATTCCTGGTTTGAGCCCACTGCTGCAGCCCATTGTGGGGGTTTCCAGTGAAGCAGATGGTATAGTTCCCTCCTGAAAGCTCATTTTCTGTTTGGGGTAAAAAGATGCTCCCTTAAAATCAAGTACACAATTGTGTGACACAGACTAAATGTGTTCAGAGAATTTGGAGGATGTAAAAGATCTTGACTAGTCAGTATAAGAGATGGATATGAATCTATGGGCAGGAGATAATTCCTTGAGGTAAGGAATGAAATGTGTAAAGACCTGGTGGGAGTTTGGGCACTGACAGTACAGAATTGAGAAGATTTGATCAGTTATATTGACTTAGAGTCTTACTGAAGAAAATGAATTTTAACAACAATACTCTCCAGCCGCTGTTTGCATTAGCCCTTGTATAATGTATTTAAGGAAAGTGTTCTCACTGAAAATGACGAGTTTTAGGTTCGGAATCTCTGACCACACAACAATGCTGAGCACATGCAAGATACTCAAAGTATTTGTGAATTGATTTTTTTCTATACAGAGTACCTTCCAGTTTCTGTTAGCGTTAGCTTTCTTTTTCTCCCAGAGGGCAGCCGCTGAGTCTTTGGTCTTGACTTGTGGTGAGAGGACTTTTGTCACTATGGGAGCATAGTTCTCTTTTAAAGCTGACCATCTGTCAGGTTCTTTATTTCCATTTGGTTTGAGGAAGGTCTAGCTCTAATGTTCATTCCTGACTTGTCCTGTTTATGTTCACGTGGGGCAGTACACCCGTCAGGGCAGGAGGAAGGAGCAGTCCTGCTCAGAAAGCTGCACAAGGTGATGTTGAACAGGAGCCCTGCTGCTCCTCGCCACGTCCACAAACAAAAAGGAGAGATGTTGTAGTTATGATTTACCGAACCTACAATGTTAAGTATCTTCCAGCAAAAAATAATTCTCAAGTGTATATTGAAGTCCACCAGCCATATAGAGCTGCCAGTGAAACGTCCTCTGTATTTTAACTTGGGAAGAAGGTTGCGGCTGTCATCAGAGTCCATACTGTATTTTGTCAGAGGCTTTTTCATGCCTGTTGTCTGTTAAGCAATTACAGCGTTTATAAATGGGGTAGTGCCGACAGAGGGTAATTGGTTAGAGGTCTTCTGCTGGGTGAGCAGTAGTTTCCTGTTAGGAGTTCTGGAGCACTGCTGTGAATGCCTTCTTTATTTGCAAAATTACAATAAAATGTTTTATCATCATAATAAGGCGCCCACTCTCCCCCAAGTTTTCTTTTCAAGGAAACTTTGTAATGTTCCAGTTTAAGAACAATTTTGCAACTCCCTGGTGCCTACTCATCCCAGTCCTTTCTCCTTTTCTGGTTTCAAGCAATTCTCATGCTACTTTAAAGGTTAGCAGTTGAGCATCAAAAACTTTAACTGATTTCTCTTTGGCCTATGAAGTCACTCAGCTCAAGCAGCAGCTACAAGGAGGGGACATGTGTGGCATTAATGAGATGGTTAGCTCACTTTCTACTCCTCTCCCACCCCCATCTGCCTCCATCCCGCCGGAGATGATCCCATCATTATTATGCTGTTGCTTGCACCCATGTGGACATCACAAGATGGACCTAATTATTAGATGATTTGACAGAAAAAGGTACAACTTGTTTGAGTCATCTTCGCTGCTCTTCCGAAAGAGGTGCACTGAGTTAGTTCATTAGAGGACAAAGGCTGCAACTCAGTGTTGACAGCACCACTGATTTTTCACTTCAGTTTCTTTGAACACATTCCTTTATTTCTCAGTGGATCTGTGGCAAAACAAGATGCAGGAAAGGGCCAGCCGAGTGGCGCGTTGGTTAAGAGCTGGCTTGGGACACCAGCTCTGAGCAGCAGGGCCCCGGTTCGGATCCCACGTGAGGGCCAGTGACACTGCCCTCTACAGCTAAGATGGTGAACAACAGCTCGATCTGGAGCTGGGCGGCCCTGAGTCGCCGGTGACTGCGTAGGCTGCAGTGAGCTGCCGTGAGCTGCCTTCCAATGGCCGGCGAGTGACTGCCTCACCCGGGAAGAGCGCAATGATAATACCAACATGGGCCAGTGAAATGACGTCCTCCACAACTAGACTGAAGAACAAAAGGACAGCAACTTGTCTGTTCCCCTCCCCCAATTCACCAGTAAAATCTTTAAAAAAGAAAAGTTGCAAGAAAGCCCCCCAGTCCAGCATCCCCACTGCCCATGCACATCCAGCCTGGGAGGGTCTTCTTCCACCAAGGAGCTTCCCAAAGGCCTCCGAGGATTTTACTGCCCGCTATCAAAGAAGGCCCTTGTTCCCAGCAAGTGCTATGTTGTTATTCAATTCAGAAAATAATGAAGACCCCATAAAGGTGCAGAAATCTGTTATGTTTTCAATGGCTCCCGAAATTCCTTTTCTTGTACTTTTGGCAGCTGTTTTCCCATTCGCAGTTGCCCGTAAAAGGAGAAACAAGCAGTTTTTACTCAGAAGTAACACTTTAATTGTTTTTAGTGGGAAAGAAGATAAAATAATTATCCTTTCACCTTTCTCATCTAGGCTTCTGCAAATTAACTCACAGGGGTTCCTTCGATTTGACATGAGAACATGTTTATATAAAAATAGCGCTTGAATTTTTACAAAAATCACTTTAATGTTATTTAAATGAGTACGGAGAGGAGACACTTTCAAAATCACCACTAATTCCGTTATGCTTTTCGGCTGAAGCATACCAGTAATGGTTTGCCAATTGTGAACACTTGTATATTGTGTAAAAATTGTTGAACTTACCAAATGGGGGAATTTACTAGTTTTTCCAACATTTTCTTGACACTATAATGGAAAAATACTTACATCGTAATATTCTTTGACCTTTCAACTTTAATAAAATATATTGCTTCTGCTATTTCACTCATTGTTTAGTTTTTACTTGTATGTTATGCTTAGACATGTTTCAAGTTTGCCTTCAGTTTTCTGAAAAGTGTTTTTCTCCTCAACCAAAATAAAATAATATACGAGTCTTGGCCCTGGGAATAGAAAAAGTTCTGGTTCTTTCTGCTAGTATGTAAGCTCAGCAAGAGCAGGAGTCTCATCTGTCTTGTTTACTAGTATTTTCCTGGAGCCTAGACCAGTGCCTGACACAAGTACTCATAAAAGTAATTGTTTAATGAAGGATAAAGGAACAGCCTTTTAATGGCTTCCACGAGTTTTCTTAAGTTCACTTTGTACATTAAGCCAAGTATTACTCCATTCCCAGTTACAGCAGAGTGCTGAAGAGTGGGCCTCTGAAATTAAGTGCTTGAGTGACCCACATAGAGAGAAATATGATTTAAGGACTGATGGGGTGTTGGTAGGGAATATCCCCTGGGTGTGCCAAACCCACTAAAATATTCCCACCTTTTGCATCTCCCCCAGGAGCACTCACTGTGGGCCTTGTGCGACAGTGTCAGACAATCCATGGACGAGACCGGACGTGCATCCCACCTCGGCTTCCCCCAGAGTGGGTCACCACACTGTTTTTTATCATCATGGGGATCATTTCATTGACTGTCACATGTGGTTTGCTGGTGGCTTCCCACTGGCGAAGAGAAGCTACAAAATATGCTCGATGGATAGCATTCACTGGAAGTAAGTAGCCTGTGCTTACTAAATTTGTCTAGAAGGCACACCCACTGGTATTTTTATGAAGATAATCAAGAATCAGTAATAAGGACTCCATAATCATCACAGAGCACCACTTGCGTATGGCCGTCAGATAAACTACACAGGCCCACCGGTTCTTCAGAGTTCTCACCACAAGACCGGGACATCAAAACCTTAATTGTTTTGTATGAAATGCTATTTTAATGAATTTTATTTTTGCTCATATTGTGGCATAAGTATTCCAGGTCTATGACTCAGAGCTACCACTAACCTGGGTCTTTTCCTCTTCTTGAAGGTACTGGTGTCTTCTATCAAATAAAGATAAATCTAGATGAAAATGTAACAAATATAAATTAGATTCAGATGGTGATGTGCTTTTCAGTATCAGTGATTTTTAGTTGCTTCTGTGAGTTGTGTGTGACTATTGAAAAATCAACACATTTGGCAATTTAATAATTATTTCTCCACGTTTCTTACTCCATTAAGCTATGCCCAAGAGTATGATGCTATATTTATGTATTACACATCCTCTTGTACTTTGCAAAATTGATTTCATTTCAAAACACATCAGAGGCTTATCCCAACTTAAAAGAAACAAAAACGCACTAAAAGCTATTTCTGTAATTCTCCTTTCTTGCTTCTTTTTCTCTAAAGAGGGGATATTTATCAATGTCTGAAAACATTTTTGATCCTCACAGTTAGGGCGATGCTACTGATCCCTAATGAGTAGAGGCCAGGGCTGCTGCTAAACACCCTGCAAATGCACAGGACAGCCCCCACGACAGAGACTTCTCTGGCCCCAAACAGCGATAGGGCACTGATGAGAAGCCCTGATGCAAGAACAAGACCGATACCTATGCCAGACACTGTGGAATTTAACTTTAATTCAGTGCCTTAAAACCATCTCAGGTTTACATAAGTTTTTAAAAAATGAATATTATAACAGCGTATTTTCATTTAGAACTCATATAATAGGGGTGAGGCATCATCCCACATATCCCTATTAATGTTAAAACTCTATTTATCCTTAAAGACCATGAGTTTCTGTCTCTCTCTCTGTGAAACTTTCTCTTTAATGTATATGTTTCTGGTTCTGTTGTTTTATTTTTTCTCTATATCTCCTTTAATTTTAAAATTTAGATCAAGTTGCTTTTGATATGTCTTCTCCATCCTTGTTAAGAAATGTGAGACAAATTGATAATCTTGTTTGAGGTCAAACAGACCTGCCAAGACAGTTCTTTTCTACCGTGTTTCCCCGAAAACAAGACCTAACCGGAAAATAAGCCCTAGCATGATTTTCAGGATGCTCGTAATATAAGCCCTACCCCAAACATAAGCCCCAGTTAAGATTGTCAGCCAGACATGTCTGTTGGAGTAAATGTAGATTTTTGTACATGAATAAATGAATAAATGTAGATTGTTGGAGCAAAAATTGACATAAGACCCGGTCTTATTTTCGGGTCAATACGGTAGATAGTAGGGTCTGGAGGCAGTTGTAGAGACAATGCTACTAAACTAAAGGGTATTGATTAGTTTAGAGAGACCTTTACTCACAGGTACAGTCACTTATCTAGATAGAATTCACTCTCTATAAAAACAAAGAAGGATGTAGTTTCAGGATTTAGTTGAAATTTGGGGATGTGTATGCTCTGAATATGAAAAATCTCACATATAATTTAGCAAAGTAGTATGAGTCAGAGAAAGTATTAAGATGCTCACCGAGCCGTTGTTTCTTGTGACCCAGTGAGAGGAAAGAACAATGATTATCTTGTTCTTCGTTTCCCTTCAATAGAGAATACTTAAGTATATGTAGCTACCACCACATGCAGTGTGTTTTGCCTCTATTTTTAAATAATTTAACTTTTAAAAATGATATGTGCATATAATACACAATTCAAAGTCTATGGAAGGGTCAGGAAGTAAGTCTCATTTGTGGCCATCGCCCGCTAGCTATCCAGCACCCCTTTCCTGGAGGCAAGCATTGGTACCAGTTTCTCGGGTTTCCTACCAGTGGTGTTCCATGCATAAAAACATGTATGTATATGTGGAGTGTTCTACAATTATATATTTATTCTGTTTACACTACCTTGGTTTTGTAGCTCAACAGTATATCCTGGAATTGATGTCATCTGAGTAAGCATAGAGCTGCATTGCTCTTAGGTTCCTTAAATACATGGTTTTTGGTACCAGAGCTGGTCCACTGGGGTGGCATCCTGAAAGGAACTGGGCTCCCCCTAGTGTTTCTCTCGTGCCTTTGAAAATGTGCTGTTGTACATCATCATCTCTGTTGTATATTGTTCTGTTCCAGTTAAGCTGTAGTTTGGATGAGACTATGAGGGTAACATTTTCTGCTGGGCTTACAGAGTGAGGAAATATCTCTCCGAGGAGAGCCGCACATAGCCGCACATGGTGGGGCTGTCCCTGTGGGCGGCGGTGGTGGTGGCAAGGGTGACAAAGATGTGTCTTTTTCTTCAAGTCTGACCCTTGCCCTACCCTCTCCCACCTCATTTCCATCCTCATCTGATGGTGGTCTCTCACCACCATGGAAGATGGGAGTTATGTTTTCCAGGCTCATTTAGGACCCAGAACTCAATTGTCAAAAGTTGATATTATCAGCATTGATAGGATTTTATGATCTAAAGTAACTTCACAGGTCTCAATAGCTTAAAAGAAAACTCATCCACCCACATGAAATCTCCCCAGGAAGCACAGAGAACTTAATTCTTTGCATTAGAAACCAAAATGCAATTGAATAGGAGTTCATTGCTTCTTTGATTACGCTCTTCCTAACCAATTTGGAAAATATTTAACTCTTGTGAAATATTAAACTCTTAAGTATAGTCATTAAGTGATTACTCCATTATAATGGATAGATTTTTATTTTATAGAAAATAGGAAAGGATAGAAATACAGTTGGCATGTTAGTTAACAGAATGAACTAATATCTGCATATCTCTAAAGCACTTCTGAATTATTTCGGTTTCTTGAGGGTAAATTAGTCATTAAGAAACAGATTGTTTTTAAAACAATGATTGTATGCCATTGTTTTTATGAGATTGTGTATAGCTACTTAGATTGTGGTTTAATTTTACTACCAAACCATATTAAGGCATAAGGGCCACTAGAAATCAGAGACAGATAATACTGATAAGTGGGCATTGGTAGCACTAATAAAATTATTTATTGTTGACTATACAACAGAAAGGCCAAAAGATCTATTTAATTCCTGAATTTTTCATTGTTCTAGTAGGTACTGGAAAGAATCCAAACTTGCCTATGTAACCTTATTTGGTGTGGTCATTTGCTCAAAATGAGATAAGATGTATGTCCACATGATAAAAACTAATCCAGCTGCTTAGTGCAGAGCAAACGGGAGTCTGCTGTGTCTCTTGAGTTAGTATGTTACTTGAGAAAGTGTTATTTTTTAATACGTTTCTAGAGCTATTCCTTCCAGGAAAGGACTCCTCCTAGTTTTCTAAGGACTCTTAAATTTTGTTGACAGACTAACACAAGGGTAATTTAGGACAAGTGTCCGCTAGTGTGTTTATCCAGGATTCTGTCAGTATTCCTGGGGATAGGTTTAGCTTGGAAAAGGTTTCTATTCAGATAACAATGGAAAGCTTCAACACTCCAGATAGAGTGACTGAAGAAACGTTTCTGCCTCCAGAGAAATTTGAAGGACTATGAACATTGGATTAATGTGCTTTTGAAAAGCACAACCATTTTCTTTGCTTTGCACAGCTAGTGAGCTCACCTACCTATAGGTAATTTGCATTCACTAAGAGCTTATCTTCCGTAGCACGGGGAGCACGCTGTTTGCTAAAACAATGGCCTGTGGGATTGCTTTCACCTAGACATTGAGGTTCCTGATACCTTTCTAGAAACATTTTAGCAAATAATATATTTCATTGTGTTTGTATACAAAACTCGAAGCTTTTTCCCTCCTCTCCCACTTGAACCTCTGTGTATTCGAAAACCTGATAGGTGTTTTTTTCTTTTTTGGAACTTTGTCCAGATAAGAGATAACCACTCTGACAGTGCTAATCAGAAGTCTAAGGTTCTTTCCACTAGCTGATTTTTAAATCAGAGTAAGGTAGATGGTACTCATGTACCTTTTCTCCAATTCCTTCTGATACCAACCGAGAGGAGCAGAGAATTGGCAAAATCCTGATGATAATATGCAGCATTTATTCAGCACTCATTATAATCCTGGCACTGTGCCAGTGGCTCGATACCAGTTTCTACTTCTAGTATGTACCCCATTTTCAGAAGGGAACCAGAAGCCTAAGATTGTATAGCTAGTAAGTAAGCAGGAAGGCCAGAACTTAGCTCCTCTGTGACTTGAACCCCAGCCCTTAATCACGACTTTAAATGGTCAAGAACAGTATATGCAAGTACTTAGTAGGCTTGGGGTCTGTCCTGAATGCTGATATTTGAAATTGCCTTAAAAAGCTAACCCAGCTTTTACTATATTTCATTGTTCGCCTTTGGGGACATTATGTGATCTGTAGTATATGCAAATCTTTTGATAAGTGGTTCATGTTTTAACAGGTTTGACCATGTTATCAATCCACAACCCTTCTTATAAACTCCCTTTGTACCAAATTTTCATTGTTTTCCTAATCACCAAACCGTGTTACTAATGTTGTGTTTTGGTTTGTTTTACAGTGATCCTTTTCTGTATGGCTGCCCTAATATTTCCAATAGGATTTTACATCAATGAAGTCGGAGGTCAACCTTATAAATTACCCAACAACACAGTAGTTGGGTCATCATATGTACTTTTTGTCTTATCAATTTTCTTTACAATAGTAGGACTTCTATTTGCTGGCAAAGTTTGTTTACCAGGCTGATGAATGTCTAAATTGCTTGACTTTTTTTTATTATTTTTTATTTTATTTTTATTTTTATTTTTGGAGGGTAGGGAGGACAAAGGCAAGGCACCTGAGTAGTCCTCTCATAGGAAGATGCTTACATGAAACATGCTGAAAAGAAAAAAAAAATGCTTTGATTTGTTCTCACTATGCACTTTGGATTAAAAAAAATATGAGAGCCTTTTTCATAACCAAATACAGACGATATTGACTAAATCTGAGCATATTCAGGCAGTCAGGTCTGCACTGTGATAGCAACTAGTGAAGGAGAATGCTTTATACTGAAAAGCATGTGGCCCTTTGGGACTCTGTTGTTCCGTTTTTAACGTCTAATGATTCATTTGAGGGAAAAACAAATTTCTAAGTATTTATGAATCATGGTGGACCAGAGGGATGCAGGAGAAGTTCATGTGGGGCTGGCCTCACCTCCTAAGAAATTAGTGTTCGCAGCTTCCTTGTCATGGTGTGAATGGATTGCCATTGCATTACTGCACCAAGACGCCAATAGATCAAAACGTGTTTGCTAAAATGTATGTA